TTTTTTAGGTTGTAGTAATAATAGCTTGTGTGATTATTTGAGTTTTAAAGATTCCGATTGCAGCTTTACAGGGCAAATCTAAATATTTTTATCATTCACAGACCTTTTACATTTGTTGATGTTTTAATATATATATTTTTTGATTAAGACAAAGAGTGAATTGCTGCACATACTGGGCATCCTGGAAAAATAACTGCAGACAGTTTGTATGATAAAGTGCAGGCTGCCCACTTCCATCTGTTTTCCTGCTGGCGTCAAGTGTACCACCTTTTGTTATTCATTTGGTGACTTATCGTGCTTTAATAGTACTTAGCTGATTAACTAACTGTCCCCAGTGTACAATACAAGTACTTACCCATAGTAACATATCTGCATTAAGAATTACTGCCTTTGTGATATAAAGTATCCATGTAATAACAAAGATAGTAGGTCTTTTGGTGGTAATCCAGTCAGCAGAAATGAATGCACCTGCCAAACAGACTTAGAACCACCACACACAGAGAGAGAGGGAGAGAGAGGCGGGGAAATAGAGAGGTAGACAGAGAGAGAGAGAGAGATGGCGCCTCGAACTCGATCCTGCTCTCACTGAGGCAGTGTTTAGAGCCGGTTAGAGAGATTCAGTAAGGGGCAGACAAAAGAAAAAAAACATGGTGAACACAAGGAAAAGCTCACGGACTAGGAGCGGTCCATTCATCTCGTCGAGGACTAGGTCGTCGTCGAGAAACGAGCGAAACTCTGAGGAACATGTAAGCCGGTTTCTTTTCTTTACCGGCGAGCTAGCTGGCTGGCTAGTTTGGCTAGCTGGCTGCTAGCCTTGGCCTCAAGGTGCTCCACATAATGTATTATTCACAGCAAAATACGAGCAGTATCGACACTGACACCAACACAGTCACGCAGATACACAGTGCAAGACATGAATGCGGCTAGTCGTTTGCGTATCCTTCGCACTGAACGGATTGTACAGCTGTCAGATTACAAGCTAGCGATATGAACTGGCTATAGCTTCAACTTGAGTTCCCTTTGTTTTTGGCAATTTTAACCGGCTGACTTGTTCCACTGTTTTCACCATTAATTAGCCCACCCAATAAAGACAGTTGGGATTTTGACTCGAGGTTGTTGGCACTACTATGTGTCGCTATCCTCGAAGTGTCAGCTTACTTATTATCTCACATATGAAGGGAGAAAGCGATAGTTAAGCTAGCATTGTAGGTTATAGTTAGCCTAGCAGCTAGCTTACAGTGGGGGGAAGGGAGTCCCAGGTCCACAACAGTTGGCTGGCTCGGGTCCGTATTTAGCAAGTCTGAACTTGGTGAACTTTGAGTTATAAATGACCCAAAGACCCATGGGCAAGTTGGTTTTTAGACTGTCCGTTTAAAACACACTCTTGGAGTTAAATATTCCCATGTGTTCTTCGAAAGAATGATTTGATAAATGAGCTTTAGATTTTACTCCCGATCGCCCGACCTACAAGCTGCCTGACAGGCTTTGTTTCAAAATGTAAACATTGTGATTATGCAAGACAGGAAGATCTGTATTTCCGTAATATTTACGATTATTAAGGCACTTAACACAGACAAAGAAATCATTTCATCAATGGGAAATATCTGTTGGTTGCTGTTAGTGCATTCCTGAGTTTTAGTGGTTTGTTGGACGAGTGGTGGTACGTCGCAGAATTGTGGGTCATGATTCATGAAATACGTTGCTCCGGTCCAGACCAATCGATAGCACCCGATATTGCACTGTGTGAGTGTAGAACTGCACAGAGTTTTAACTTTCCCACCTTTTATTTACATTGCCATATCACAATAATTCAGTGTAGTGTTGTACTCCATGCAACCAGCCATTTTACTCTGTTAGCTACTTGTTGACCTTGTCAGAACTTGTCAGAACCGACTGTCCTGCTGTGACAGCGTTTGCAGAGTGATTCACATGTGGAAATGATTTCACGGTGCACCTCTTGGGCTGCCTCCATGCATTTCTTCACTCCTGGTACATCCTGCATTTTACAGTCTGTCTGCATCCATCTATCCACCCAGTCAGACAAACCCCTCTGTCAGCACTGCAGACAGTTGCCTATGACAACAGTGAGATATGCTCACATATCAGCGAGGAAGTTAGGCTGTGAAGGGCATGAGCATCAAGGGCATATGTCTGGTTGGTGCTGTGCTGAGATTCACAGGGTACATTGAGGAAGTGGGTTCAGGGCGTCTTGTCTCATGACAGTCCTCTATTCTGGATTTGACGCTCTCCGATCTTGTTCTCTTGTGTCCTCGATTTTTTTTTTCCCCGCCCCGTGAAATATATTTTTACTTAATATTCAAAGAGACTTTGTATGCAGATATTTGTGAAACATTCTCTCTGTATTTGTTATCCTCTTTTTTTCCCTTTCCTTGTTTTTTCTGATTGTGTGTCACAGTTTTGCCTTCACTCCCCTAAGTTCTGGTGTTATGTGTGTGTTTGTCCAACAGAAGGAACCCAGCAGTGATGCGAGCAGTCCCAGCAGTCCACGGTTTGCACCGCCTTCCAAGCGCACACGGCGGCAGACTGCTTCTGAGCCAAGCTCCAGTGATACCTCCCCGTCCCCTCAGACTAAGGGCCAGAGGGTCAGCTGGGGCATTCCTACCTACTGCACAAGGTCAGCTCTTGGCCTAGTTTTTTTACACACGTAAATTTAATTAAGCCAGAGTTGGTCAAGATGGATGTTTTGTGGCTCTGGCAGTGAAACCAGAGTTGCATTGTTACATGTCATGTTTTAGTGCTGTGTGATTAACCAAATTTGAAATTATGATCAGTTATGATCTTGGCTTCTAACAGTTATGAAGACAAGATTATCTGGATAAAACAGTTACTTCTTTTTGCATTACGTTTGCCTAATTTTTTAAAATGCAGTTTTCTTTGTTTATTTTCTTTTTAAGAGTTATTTCTTTGTATATATATATATATATATATATATATATTTTTTTTTAATACTTTTTCCTGCTATTGTCAACCATACATTTTCTTTACCCTTCCATAAAAGCTCAGACTCACTTGCTGTTTAGTTCAGCTCTAGCTGAGATGACCAAAAGAGAGCCTGCATAGACCTGTTAAGAGGAATAAAAACTTATAAGGTTTCCATGGGTGAACTTGGGGATGGATTATTAGAAGTTGGCGTCATATTTGAGGGTCTTTCCTTTGGCCACCTAGCCCAGGGCTAGCTTGCAGGTCTCACAAGGCACACAAGTTCACTGCACCTTGAGGCTCCCCATTAAAGGCAGACTGGTAGCTGCACTCTTTACCCGCTTCACCCACTAGCTCTACCTGTTTTTTGTTTTGTTTTTTTCTTCTTCATGGAAATTCAAATGTTCAAAAAATCCAGGTCACAGTTATCAACTAAAATAATTCTGATAATGATTTTTGGTTTAATCTTGTAGCCTTGTTGTGCATTGTGATCAGAAACACTTCATCCTAAGCTCCTAAGCAGTAATATGTGCGATTGCCATCTTTTGTGCAGCTGTCGGAATTATTTTCTCTTTGTTGTTCTGTTTTACAGACTGTCGTCTCGCATCATGCAAAATGGGCACGGTAAAGTATTTCCCCCAGTTTATCCCTGTTTAAATAACAATCATCTGGGGAGCATATGATTAAAAAAATACCAATTTTAATTGAATCTTCTGTCTGTGCTGCAGCCCATATGAGTCACCGGAATGAGGACAGCGGAGGGGGAGATCACTCTCATATGAATGGCCATGTGGAGCTGAAGAGGAGCTGTCGGGTGAAGAAGAGCCAATTTGAACACCTCAATCAGAGCCTGCTGTTTGACCAGCTGGTCAACAGGTAGCTTCCGGCAGTCATACTGTTGACATGTTTCTTTGCAACAGTGCTTTGAACAGAGAATGAGCTGGAAATGTGGTTAACCGGTTCATTTGAAAACACATTCATTTTGGAACATGAAAGTGGATCCTAAAAAAATATTCCTTATTAAATAGTATTTGTATGCTGTGTGTTGTAAGTTGTCACAGTGTTTATTGGTTCAGGGTTTAAGATGAAACACGAGTAGAGAGAAAAACATTTTTGAGATTCTGTACTCTGAGAAGAGAACACTTTAGACAAAGTTGTTATCTTGTTTCTCATTCTGTGTTGGTTTACGTGTGTGCAGCACCGCGGAGGCTGTTCTTCAGGAGATGGACAACATCAGCAGCATCAGGCAGAATCGTGAGGTGGAGCGACTTCGCATGTGGACCGGAGAAACCGAGGAGGTGAGCGAAGCAGTGGAGCGCCACACAAACCAGGGTTTGAAAAGTACCACTGCCTGATGATGCAAGGTGAATGCAAGTGTTGGCATTAAGGCTCTTCTCTTTTAGGAAAACATGGACATGTATTCACGGGTGAAACGCAGGAAATCCATGCGCAGGAGTACTTTCAACATGCCTGCGCATCACAAAGTCATGGGCAAAACAGAGCAGGAGGAGGAAGAGGAGGAAGGAACTGAAGGTCAGTTTCCTATTAATGTTCTGCTTACGAATCAGTGAAGCAAGCAAGAGATCACGAAGTCGTTATGAAGTACCTCGCCTTAAACCGAATTAATCATAAAAAATTTTGATTGCTTAGTGTACTATATAATCTTTTAAAAACTCAGTATTCTCAAATTTTAAGATGATGCTTCTGGCTTTCAGAATCTCATGGTGAGGAAGAGGAGGAAGATGCAGAGGATGATGATGACGATGATGAAGGAGATGAAGCAGAGGAGGCAGGGGAGGAAAATGACAGACCGTACAATCTGCGGCAGCGTAAGACAGTGCAGAGATATGAAGCACCGCCTATTGGTAAATATATGTATTTTCTGTATTATTCTTCAAGCTTCTAAATTGGTTTCAAATGTATTTTAAACAGAAAAAAATCACAGTAAGTGGAAATTATAGCAGAGTGTAACCACTAATCGTTTTTTGTTTCCCTTTTTTCAGAGCCAGTGAACAGAAAACAGAGCAACCCCTCACTTTTTGACACCCACAGATCCCCAGCGAGGAGAAGCCATATAAGGTGGGCAAACTGTGAAAAGCCCAAATCTGGTGCTCAACATATTACTGTCTTTTTCACAAGTAGCTTTTCACTAGTACGAGTAATGTGCTCATGAGGGGAAAAAAAAGGAACGTCAGTGCAAAGTGATACAATTCTGACTCTTGATTTGTCACGCCTCTCCAGAGTGAAGAAACACGCCATTCACAGCAGTGACACCACCTCATCTTCTGATGAAGAACGCTTTGAGCGCAGAAAAAGCAAGAGCATGACTCGGGCCAGGAACAGGTGCTGGCTGCTGCCTTCTTTCTTCTTCCCTCAGTGTTTTTAACTACTCGGTTGTACTCACTTATTTCACTTGAATTTGTTGCGACAGGTGCTTGCCCATGAATCTGACGGCTGAAGACCTGGCTAGTGGGGTGCTGCGTGATCGAGTTAAAGTGGGTGCAAGCTTGGCTGATGTGGATCCAATGAACCTTGACCCTTCAGTGAGTGAAAATACTCCCAAGTTCCAAAACAATAATAGAACACAGCTTAGCCTGAATACTTGGGTTCATCAAAATTATTAGACAAAACTAAACGACCCACTGTTTAGTTTTGGAACTGTCAATTATTAATACATAAAAAAGAAATTTTCCGAATTAAAATGTGACCTGTTATGCTTTTCCTTATTTAAAGTTTTGGTTTGCCATATTAAACATAGCCAAAATTTCCATTAAAGAGTTCAGTGTATGGACACACTTAGAATGTACTTCAGGCTGCTCTAATAGCCCTTTTCCACTAGCATCTACTGGACTAAACGTGACTCGACTCTTTTCGGTTGTTTTCCATTACAATTAAACATCACAAAATGTGTGTGCGGTCGTTACAGCCGTGTCCCGAAAGTCCTCTGACGTCATTTGTATGTAATGCGAATGGAGGGCGTTGAGATGATGGTATACCCGCTGCTCGGTGTGGGTTTTTGTCAGACTTGGGGACCACAGTGTTGTTTTCCTTTAGGCATTTCCCTCATTGCCGGGTTTCAATAATGGGGCTTTAGATTTTTGTGAAGGAGATGCTGGTACTCGGTACTATCACCTAATGGGAAAACCCTAAAAACCCAGTCGAGCCATTCCCAGTTGATCCGAGTAAATACTAGTGGAAAAGGTCTAAAAATGTCCCATACAATTTTCTTTTTCTACTCTTGGGTCTGTATGATGTCAGGGAGGAGGGATATCCTTCATTTGTTCAGCTCCATCTCTGAGCACAGAAACTCCACCATGTGATTTTCAAATCTTTTGTTTGCAAGAAAGAGCCCACTAGAAGAAAGGTGGCTTAAAATCAGGAAGAGAGGTACAGCGCTTGCTTCCGACATTGGATAAACTGACTTAAAATATGTCTGCGGTTGTGTTTGTCTTCTCCCTAGGTAAGATTTGACAATGTGGGTGGTCTTAGTAATCACATACAGTCACTAAAGGAAATGGTGGTATTCCCTCTGCTGTATCCTGAGATCTTTGAGAAGTTCAAGATTCAGCCTCCCAGGTGAGAACGTACTGCAAGAATGTAAGGTTATTCAGGTCCAATTTATGCTGTGTTTTCTCGGGGAAAAAATGAGATCATTACTTTAATGATGACATTATATTTATGCCTTTTGTGCACGATAAAAGAAGTGTAAGCACTATTTGTAGTTGGTTAAGGGAGCATAAAATTGAGTTATCCCAACAATTTACAGCTTGAAGTACTATTAACATCAAATATTGATCAACCACAGGGTGAAAATTTCCGTTATGTAGTCATTTTAGAGATGAATCTAAAGTGGTGAGCTTTAATTATCACATAAACTAAGGTCCTATTCTCTCCTTGTTCTTTTTTAGAGGGTGTTTGTTCTATGGCCCACCAGGCACAGGAAAGACCCTGGTTGCACGAGCTCTTGCCAATGAGTGCAGTCATGGTGACAGGAAGGTTTCCTTCTTCATGAGGAAAGGAGCCGACTGCCTCAGCAAGTGGGTTGGTGAATCAGAACGGCAGCTACGCCTGCTCTTTGACCAGGTAAACCACTGCAACGGCACTCTGATGAGGTGGAAGACATTTTTTGGCCAATAATCCATGTAAACAATTGTTTCTGATGGCATGTTTTCGGTTCTTCTAGTGCTTTGTACTTAAACACAGGTAAAGCTAAGGAGTGAAATCATATATTGAGTTAAGTAAGCTTGACTTTGGTCCTGTGTGTGCTTTTGACCAGGCTTACCTTATGAGGCCATCCATAATTTTTTTCGATGAGATTGATGGTTTGGCTCCTGTTCGCTCCAGCAAGCAAGACCAGATACACAGGTAAGGCCAATGTGACTGTGACTGTCATTTTCAAAGATGCACAGCTGCTTCATGTAAATGTAAAATGCCTAACCTATACAACACTGCTGCACATTAGCAGCAGTGGCATGTCTCTGCATGTGCAGTTCCAAACTGCTGTCTTTTTAACTACCAATAGGTGGCGCAGTTTCGCTAAAACTGCTGGCATTGTAGCTCCGATTGTAAATTAAATTTACTGGATATCTATTTTCCTGCTTGTCGTCAACACAATTTGAGTTTCATTTGAGCCTCGGTCACAGTAGTAGTGGAAATCAGGAGCCCTTCACTTCTGATTTAAACCACTGAATCTGAACTGTGCGTGGGTTAAGAGGCCTTTTACGTAAACACAGTTTGAAGTTGAGCTTTGCTTAAACAATTGCCTGCTAGAAAATTAAATATTTGTAACTGTGAAGAGTGCCATTTAAACCACAGTTTATTCCAAAACGTGAAGAGTGTGTATGCTCTCTTTTTTCATCCATGCTGCCACGCTTTAGTCAACAGAAGCACAAGCACAGTTGCTCTTTGCACCACGCTATTTTATTCAGTATGGCTGTTTAATGGACCAAATCTTTGTACCATTTGCAAAAATAAAGCCTTGTTAATTTAGGTTGTACCAACTCATGACCCGTATCAGTATTGATTCAAACAGTATTTGGCGCTCGCATGAAGGTTTGCGTTTGCGTATAATGTTTTAGAGCCATGCATGTACAAAATTGAATTTGTTGTTCTATAACTGTCTGGCAGCTTTTGTAATTGCCTCCTTTTCTCTGTGCAGTTCTATTGTATCAACTTTGCTGGCCTTGATGGACGGCTTGGACAGTCGAGGGGAGATAGTGGTCATTGGTGCTACAAACAGACTTGACTCTATCGACCCGGCACTCAGGAGGCCTGGACGCTTTGACCGGGAGTTTCTGTTCAGCCTGCCCGATAAGAAGGTAAGAAACATCAATACTGTATACAGTGGAAGTGTGCGCACAGTTGTTTCTATGACACCCAGCTGGAGATCGAAAATAATGCAAACACAATTAGTCTCTTACTCATAAGTCCTGTGACAAAATTAGTACACACAGCCCGCTGGCTATTAAAAATCTCCTGTTTTTTTTCTCTTCATCCTCAGTGTTTGATGTTTTGAGTTAAGCATGTGGCAAAGCAGATGCTCATTAGCTTTCTAGAAAATTAAAATTCAGTCTTAGAAGTTTAATTTTTTTCCCATACGTAATTGCTTTATTTAGCTCTTAGAAGAAGCGTAAAACAATGTTGCGTGTGAGTAAAAGTGACAGTGAATCAGATGACCAGAACAGTGCAGGTGACTCCTCCCCATCGAGTCTGTGTAATGGGTCGCCTTGCATCGTTTGTCCACACAGTAGGATCACTGGTAATCAAAGGCTAATCTGCAAGCCAGTGGTGGGTTCTCACTAAGCTCTGAATGATTAGAGGATGGGAAAAAAACACTCTCTCTTATGCAAAAGCGAGTCTTTTTACATGTTTTAGTTATGTTCCGGTGTTGCCTAAGCTAGACAGCTTCATGAAATCCATCTCAATGATGCCAGTTGAATAGAAAGGTAGATATGATGAAACACGATGAAAACTCTTGCACTTTATTCACGATAAAAACCACTTTGTTCTCATTGCCCGATCATCAAAGCGGAGTCCTGTGGAGATGTTGCAGTGAATTGTAGGGTGTAGCTTTGGCAAACGTTTCAGCTGAACTCATTCACACACTTGGCTCTGTTTTGATCTTTCTCATTATGTTGTCAGTTCTAGATAGGGTGAAGGGTGCTTACATTTAATAGGTGTATTTATGGTGTGTTTTTCTGGGTTTCTTACCTCATGTTTTTGCTCCTTGTGTTTTATTTATCTGGGTTTTTTTCCCCTATTCACTACTCTCTCTTCAGGCCAGAAAGCACATTTTGGAGATCCACACACGGGACTGGAATCCCAAATTGTCTGAGCCATTTTTAGATGAACTTGCAGAAAAATGTGTCGGTAAGAGTGATGTTTAAGTATAAAACATTATGTCAATTTTGAAAGTGACTGCAGTGTGTAGCTTTACTTTAAAGCTCCAGGTGTTCGGGTAGAACAATAAAAGACATTTAAAAATTTTCACCATGAAGTGGCAGCAGCTCACGGTGGCTGTGCCAAAAGAGCCAGTATAAAACCCTAATTAGGAAAACAAATGATTCACTAAGCTTTGTTGTTCTCGCTCTTACAGGCTACTGCGGTGCTGACATCAAAGCACTTTGCACAGAGGCGGCCTTGATGGCGTTGCGCCGCCGCTATCCCCAGATCTATGGCAGCAGCGTCAAACTGAAGCTGGACGTCGCCTCTATCGTCCTGGGGCCCGGCGACTTCAGCAAAGCAATGAGGACAATTGTCCCAGCCTCCCAGAGGGCTTTGGCTCCCCCAGGCCGAGCCTTGTCCCCAACCCTCAGGCCCCTGCTGGCCACTTCTTTCTCCTTGGTGCTGAAAGCTCTGCTCCGAGTCTTCCCCCATGCTCAGTGTACTGACAGGGACAACACACACGGTAGGCGTCTGGAACCCAGGCACCTGTGGTTTCAATTCTATCATGTGTTTTCCTTTTGTTGCTGCTGTTTTTCCACTGTCACTCTTGCTCTTATCTCTCTTGCCACCTGTCTCTCTTGTTAGTTTGTTTTTCCTGTTGGTACTTTGTAGTATTTGATTATCTCTCTCGTTCCCCAACCTTATTACCAAAGTGCTTTGTATCGCCCTCACACAGTGAACATAGAGTCTGTAGTGAAACATGTCCCCTGTGTATGCAGAAGTGATGGCACAGAGATTGGATAACTAGTCATCCTGTGAGCACTTCAATAACCCAACTCCCACTCCAGTCAACAGAAGACTGTTTACAGCAGATTAGGCTCGATGCAGTACTCGACCAGTTGGAGATTGCTTGCAGGAATCATACTTCTAAAAGCCATTAATGACATGAAAATCCCATAGCTGTGCATGATATCAAATGGCCTAAACATCTCTACCTAATAAGCAGATTTGCTTTTTTAAAAATTTAATTTTCTTGTTGAATTTGCTTCATTAACATCAGCAGCAGTGCTACTTTCAGGATTAAACTTTTCAGAAACAATTTTTTATGTACCCGTTTGCCATCAGTACACTGAGTAAAGCCAGGAAAAGTGAGTAGCCACATGTGTACATGATCGATGTTCCTCACAGTGCTAGGCGGTGACAATCATCTGCTAGAAGAGGACCTGTATAGCGACGATGACAATGAGGAAGGCTCTGCTTCCATTTATGAAGTCCAGCCCGCTGCATCCCCAAAGAGTCAGCTCACCTCTTCTGCAATGCACAGACCCTTCCTCCATTTCTCCTCGTGAGTTCACCAAAGATGGCTTTTATGTGCTTTTTTGTGCAAAGGCGCTTACGTTTCATAACCAACAGATGGAATGAATGTTGTGTCAGAAAAAAAACATCTTTTAAGACCTATTCAGATAAAGAAACGTCATTTTCTAACACTGAAGTTACAATAACTTTGTACAAACAGGTGCTATCGGTTCTCATTTTCGCCATTTAATTCGTCCTACAATAGCTCCAGTGAGCCTTGAAATACTGCTATCTCCTTAGATGAAGGCAACCTCCGAGGCAACAAATATACAGTTGCTCCACTGGGAGTATTTATTAACAATCCTCAGCTGTAGAGTCAAAGGGGCTAGATCATAGGAGAGGATGAAAGAGGAAACAGAAGGTGATAAGACGACTCACAAACCAGAATTGCTATTGCACCCTCTATTCAGAAATGTAGACGGGCAAAGGAAGTAAACCGATCAAGTACTTGGCCTTTGACTTTCCGTTAACTTGAACAATTTGATAAACAACATTAAGCACTTATCAAGCTTCTTGCTTTCAAGCTGTATAAAATTTGCTCGCACTGTGTGTTAGATGCACATAGGAAAAGCCCCTGAAGGCATGTCTAGATTTGTAGATTAATGGCACCTACTGGATTGAATGCAGGCAAAGCCATGCTTAAGTGGCTTATTGGCGTTGTTATCAAACAGCTGTGCTGCAGTAGGACAGATTTTGTCAGAACTCTGTTTCAAAAACGTGTCCTCGAGGTTGAGTACAGATAACAATTACTGCAGAAGTAGAACTCATGTAACTCTGAGATAAGGGAGGAGTCCCAGTCATTTTTGCCTTCAAAAAAGCCATCAAGTAAAATGCAGAGTAGGATTACTAAGATTGTGCTCCTACACAAACCTTGAAAACAACAATAAGCTGCTGCGAGCGGGCATGTTGCCTTGTGCGTGCACATGTGCACACGTAATGTGTTCACAGCTGGATGTTTGCTAAACCGTACTGAATTCCTGTTGTTTTTCCTCTGACCACTCTTCTTCACGTGTGGCTTATTTTTCTGCATCACTTGTGTGTGGGATTGCTTTTACACCAAATGCCAAAGATTCATTTCATTTAAAAGCAACTCTTACAGACTCGGACTAAGCTGTAGCTTTTACAGTGAGTGCACCAAAGTAAAAAGAGAACAATAGGGCTTCTGCTGTGGCTTTTTAAATGACTGGAGGACTGTTGTACTGCACTCATATAGTGATAGATGATACACTAACTGTGAACTCCCATCTGCCTCTAGCTCTGCCCTCCAACAGCCCACAGCATACAGGCCTCGTCTGCTCCTGGCAGGGGCCCCGGGCTCAGGACAGAGCTCCCACTTGGCCCCTGCCTTGCTGCACCACCTGGACAAGCTACCAGTACACCGCCTGGACTTGCCCACTCTCTACTCCGTCAGCGCCAAGACGCCAGAGGAGTCCTGTGCTCAGGTAAAGCGCAAACGCATACCGATGCACTGAGAAGGTGCAGACATGTATTCATTTAACTGAAGATGTTTTACTGTGAGAACAAAATTTGGAGACAGTAGGCAATCTGCTGGCTTCCACAATCTTTATTTCCATTTCTTCAGTTTTAGAAAACATTGTTTGCTTGACCACTTTCCCTGTAGGTATTCCGCGAGGCCCGCCGGAGCGTGCCCAGTGTAGTATACATGCCACATATCTCAGAGTGGTGGGACACAGTAAGTGATACTGTGAAGAGCACCTTCCTCACCCTGCTGCAGGATGTGCCCTCTTTCAGCCCTGTCCTTGTCCTCGCCACAGCTGAAACTCACTACTCAAAGCTGTCAGATGAGGTAGGAATGCACACACTGAGCTGACATTTTGAGATTTTCCTGAAGGCTTGCAACCTTTTTTTTCTTTCATTATGTGAAAGAGAAGATTGTTAACCCAGTGTCCTTTTTATGTGGTGTTGGAGGTTAAAGCATGATTTGAAGTTTTTTTTTCCTGTGCTAAGCTGTAATGCTAGTGCAAACAGTGCGTCACAGTAAATGTCATCTGCTCCCACAGTTTTTATCTACTTTGGCTTTGTCACCCGCTGACCGCCACACCTCACCCAACCCTTCAGAGCAGTCAGCTGAGGGGAAACACTGAAACCCTAATCATCAGTCATAATCACTATCGTAACAATCCCCCTCCCCACGGTAACCCAGTCTCCCCACCTCCTCATCAGGCTTGACTTTTTTGGGTTACCTTGTTCAACCAGAGATATGAAAAATAAAAAGCAAAAGAAAATAAACATTGTTGATAAAATTAAGGCAACAGAGACTGCAAAGAATGAAAAACTGGTTCATTTAAAATCAAAATTTTTTAAACGTCATTATTTTTTAATTTTAGAACTTCATTTATTGTGCTTGTTTATAGTGGATTTAGGTTTGTCCCATAGTGAGGGGCATGTAGGAATTTTTTTAATACAACAAAATTAAAATAATTGCTATATATTGGATATTCTCTGTAGAAAAATGCAAAGCTGATAAGCCTATCAATTGATTCTGTTGGCTGAAGCTATGCTGGCATTTACGGTCATGCTACTTTCTCTCCTGTGTGTGTGTGTGTGTGTGTGTACCAGAGCAGTGGCAAGACTTTTGAACTGATGTTGACAGTTCAAAAGTCATTACTGTAGGCTAAGCTTTCCAACAATTAAACCACCCAAAGCCAAACATAGTTAGACATTGACCCAAACATCAAGCCGAAATATCTTTTTATTTAAAACAAAAAACGGACCGGATCTAAATCTGGCAGCACTGACAACAACGCTTGAAGTTCTGTTGCTGATGACACACACTTTGCTAACCAATGACTGATGAGGGAAAAAAAAAGCAAAAAGCCAACAGGGAGTCCTTACTCCCACCCAAACATTCAAGGAAAAATGCTGCAGTTTAGAGCAGTCTGGAAAACCAAATAATCAAGCTTTGTACCCCACACTGTGCCCCAGTCTGCACTGTTTTCTGACTGTAAATGAACATTTAGACTATATGTGTGATGATTAATGGTTGTCAGACAGATGAATATTGTTGCTTAACACTTGTGGCTTTATTTACTCTGAGAAAATACTTCATAGCTTGACAGTGCTGACCACTGACATTTTCACTGCTGGAAATTAAATGAGCCCTCATTCTCAGCTGCAGCAACCTTAATGGATTGACTTTTCTTTAAGTGATGTGAAGATTGATTTCGTTGAAATATGCTACACTGGAAGTGACATTTCCACTTAGCACTTAAGATAAGCTTTAGTTTAGTTAGGTGTGTTTTAGCACACCAATTTTATTTATTTATAGATTAAATAACTGATTACACCATAACTAAATCCATGTTATGGTGTAATCAGTGACATAAATTGACTGAAAGATTATTTATAATAAGCAGGTTTCTAATCGTTTTCAGACTGCCCTGAGATGACCCTAAATGGTGGTTAAAGCCAGACAAAATGTAAGAAATCAGAAGTAACTATTTGAAGCTAATGGTATAAAAACTCAGTCATTCCTGCTGCTGCTAGAAATTCTGTTGCACTGCTTATATCTACAGCCTTTCTTTTAAATCCTGCAATGGGAACATAACGAGTACATGAGTTGGTTCCGCTGATTGGGAGTATTGTTCAGGCTATTTAAAAGCTTGTTTCATCTACTAATTAGACCTATTTGCTGGATTTGTTTGCTTTATCAATCATTTTTAGGCACGGACATGCCGCAATCTATGGCGCTTTAAGTGATTTGGCTATCTCTGAGAGTGTTGTTTCTCTCTGGCACGGAGAACACAGTGACAGCTGCTGTCTCAGCTCCAAGCCTCAGCAGGGAATGGGTAGGATCCCTCCCCAGCCAAAACTGACACTGCAGGCTTGGGTCCAACTACATAATTTCCCTCCCTCCCTTAACAGTCGTTCAGCCTGCTAAGATTGACTCCCTTTTCTATAAAAGTAGAAGGAAAATTTGCTCCAGGTTCAACACGAAGAGTGTGGAGGGATGGTGGCATCTTTGTTATCACCTTTTGCTGTGTTTTTGATGCATTGCTATACTGTTCAAGTGCACAATAACTGCATCAACAGCCTGTAGAGTGTGAATTCTATCCACTGCTGATTGACCATAAAAGCATGATTAATAATGCATTGGTAATCTGGTTGCAGTGCCAAGGAGCAATAAATACAGTGTAGTAACACTTATGTCCTGTGAGATGGATGATGAGGCGTAGTGATGTTTGTGCAGTGCGTCCTTCAGCCAGACTTGAGTTGCAGCTGTTTTCCTGTTCACACTTGAGGTTGGGCTTTAAAGGCCAGTGTTGGGTGATACGCCGCAATAGCACAGTTACTGAAAAGTCATTGAAAGTGAACAGCAAATCTCGCCTGCTGCTTCACATTTGCACAACTGATGCATCACCTTGGAAAGAGGGTTTCAGATATCTGACACTGGCCTCTTCAATGGTTTCTAAATGCACACTGGCTCTTTTGTGTCATGCACTATTTATGTCTCCAAAAGCAAAATCATCACTGACCATTGTTCCTCAGTTCATGCTAAATCTTCACTTATCAAAGCACGACAGAGTGTGCACTGGCAGAATGAATTGTCACTTCCTATTTATCTATTTTCTTCTGCTTTTCTGGGCCTGGGTCACAGTGGCAGCAGGCTAAATAAAGTAAGCCAGCAGAACCTCTCTCTCATCCATATCGTCCAACCCTTTTTGGTGATGGCTAAAATGTAATCCCTTTGGCATGTCCTTCTAGTTATTTGTGCCGCTGCCTCTACTGACTCGTTTCAGAGCAAAGGAGCCTCGATTCCTTTCAGAGCTCCTTCAGGATGTGTGAGCTCCTCGCTCTCTTGCTCTTTCAGTAACTACAGAAAACTCATACCAAGCTTGAGAGAGAGAGTTCATATGTGAGATTCAGAATGCAGTCCAGTGAATGAAAAGCTCCTGCTGATGCGACACATTCACGGTCCATGTTATCACCATCTGAGCTTCAGTGTTCCAGTTATCCATTACTCTTGCAGATTTCTCACTTTTATTCCCTAGATGCCGTGTAGTAGGTAGGGACTTGGGAATTTGATTCAGGTTAGCCAGCATGAATGTGATTTTACTAAATAAAGCCTTTAAAGCATTGGAGATGGAGATAAGTGGCTCTATAAGCATGAAGTGAAAGAACGGTGATAATGGAAACCTACGTGTCTCTTGTACACATACACAAACTTTTCATGTGATTCAGTTTATAGGTTTGCAAACATTGATTTCCAGCTACAAACTTTGAAAGTTGTTGTGTAAACCAGCTTAACAACCCTAATCTGAGTCTATAAAGAATAGGTGTCCACTTTTATTTTACAGTCTCTCTAGCCAGTAGGCATTCCCTTTATACTTTCCACCCTCCCTTCCTTTTTAAACATTCATCTGTCTACACATTACTGCTCTCTCTCCTGGTGTTAATACACCTGCAGCCTTTATCATAATAAAAATACTGTGAATCATTACCTGCTGTGTGCTACCTGCACGATCTCTTTCTGGCTCTCCTACTGTTTTTACTCAGTTTCTCCTTTTTTTAACCTCTTCTGAGGGGAGAGCAAGCAATTCAGAGAGAGTGTGTGAAAGAAAGACACCAGATAGCGGTGCAGAGCGAGCAAACATGCCACAGCTAAGGGTGAGGATCGATGTGAATGACAAATAGCGGGGGAATTATAAAGAGTAAAGTCGGCGCTTCGTCAGCAGCGGGGTATCCTGTTGGAACTGGTGTTCAGCTCCATCACAGAACTAACTTAGGATACAGCATCCATGTAAATGTACACATTGGCAGGTCATATGATCTTCTGCGTATGACCTGCAGAGGGACTACAGATGCAAATGAGCCCAAGCTAACTCGACATTTATGTTAATATTGTCCATGGTCCCTTTTCAAATAAAATGAATTAATAATAGGAATTATAATGATGCTCTCACTTGAGGTCTTTTGACTCCAAGCGTGCATTGTATGTGATAATAAAAAGTTCTGCTTCAGGTTAAACATTTGGCTATCAGGGAATGAGGTTATCGTGCTTTTTTTTTTTTTTTAATACTTACAGTTTAGTCAGTCCTTCTGAATTATACAGGTTGAAACATCAGAACTTACCAGGCAGACCAAATTTAGAGTCATTGAAACATTGTTATTGAATCCTGCAGGCTGAGAGGAAAAAATACAAACAAACAACCATTAAAAGAAAACGCATCAAATCAGACCATGTAACTCATCCACTACAGGGTCTCATGTTCAGCACAGTTTTTCCATTTCTGTTGTTTTCCATTAAGAAAATTGACTTCAGTTGAATTGAATTCAATCCAATATGAACAGTTTTTATCCATTAAAATCCACCACAGTGCTATTTGTTTTTCTTTTTTCATAACACTGCTTAGCCATGCACGTTCACTGAGGACATCTGTAATACTTCATACATGCATTATATTTAGTAGAGTTGTGGTTGAGAATTTATCAAACACCTTTTAGTAACAACCATTGTTTTAACACCTCATACTCACTCTGATTTGCAGTTTTTGACAGTTAAGATAAGATAACCTTTATTATTCCTACACATGGGAAATTTGTTGCTTTTATAATATGAGAATTTCCCCACAAGAAATCTGCCGCATGTTTAAGGCGATGCATTGTCTGCAAACCTTGGACAGTTGGCTGTTTATCAATTGGGTTCTACTAGAAATAACAAGTCCTGTTTTCTTTTTACCGCTTTGGTTTGCAATTTGGACTTTTTTATTTTCCACGTTCATTAAGTCCTGTGCTTAGTTTCTGTTGTGCTATTTTGTGCATTAGTTTAATGTAGCGACAGATGAAAAGAGGACTCGCGTCAACGTCATAATTATTATTTATCTTTGGCTCCTGTGTTAACAAAAATGTACATAACAAACTTCAGTGGAAGCAGTTAGTTTGTGCCCCTGGTATCAAACTGAAATTAAATTGGCTCAAAGTGGAATATTTTCACATCTCATGAATTCTACTTGGAACAAAAATGAATGAAACAACTGCCTTATAGTGCTCAATGAAAAAGGGCACCTTAGAATAAACATAGTAAGTATACCGGCCTGGCAACAAGGTTTGACATGTTCTGTTGGTGAGTCTTTTTTCAGAAACACCCTTATTTCTTTTTTTTTTAAACTCCTTTTTCTTTTTCTTTTAAATATAGGTGAGAAGTATATTCCAGAGGACCTATGGGGAAGTAGTTGCACTGTCCCCTCCGGGAGAAGAGGAAATACGGCACTTCTTCTCTGACCTCCTGTTGGTTCAAGCAGCCAGGCCTCCACCACGCCTCAGGAATGCAGGTATCTATTTATGCATACATAAGTAAATAGCATAATGACTCATTTCTTCTGTCAGTGCTAGAGGGCAGTGTTGGCTGGTGTTGACTGCTTGTATTATTACCTCTCTAGCTCTGGTTTCGTTTTTCAACTCTCCTTTTATTTCGGATTAAATGTAGACCGGAGGAGCAAATGTTATTTGATTGGTATGTTAAAAACGGTCCTCGCGTGTGCGCGTCTGTGTACGTGTGTTCAGAATTGGCAAAAATATGTACAGATGTTAAGGTAATTAGGGTGGTGCACACAGAAGTGTAAGATTGGCCCAGTGTGAAACCTGTGAATCCTGGACATTTCTATTTCTCAGCCACATCGAAATCAGGCCAAAGCACCCCTCAATCACATCCCCATCCACCAGTACAATTACCCCCTGCTATTTCCCTACTGCTCAATCTCAGTTTTCCCAAAGTCTACTGTTCCAGTTCAATATGAGAATGCTGTCCACCCGGGCTTTCAAATGGAAATGGCGTTCAGCATTCATCTTTCGATTCCTCATTGATGCAAACCAGGAGGGTCCCCTGCTGTACTCGCTCTGTGCTCTTCAGGGGCTCCTGCATCTCTAAGACAGCAGTCTGATTTCCTGCAGAGAGGCCAGCAGAAAAGCACAGAGAGGAATTGCTGTGAGAGGGCCCGGCCGCGATTAACCATAATTAGAATCAGGAGTTGGATTGCTGCTGCTGAGTGAAGCGCCCTTAGGTGCTGTAGAGCCCTCCTAACGATATCGGCTCATGCCTTGGGCAAGTATGGGCACCTCTAGAGACGAAGGGTGAAGATCTGCTGGCCTTGCTTTATCGCTTTGCCACTGGCCAGAGGCTGTTCCTAGGTGCATTTCAAAACCAGGGGAGTTTTTTTTCATTAGCTTATTAATCTTAAATCTAGGGATGCGCCTTCACTGCTTTTGACATTTATTACTGTTTTTCTTTGGAACAATAATTGTTTTACTGTTTAAATGTCCAAAGAAGCTATAATAAGAATAGACAACTCCAATGAGCTATGAAACTGTTATTTATTGATTTTTTTCCCAACAATTTCTTTGTTTCGATGGCATAAAATCAGTAAGAAGCAGGAAAAGGTAACACCTAATTAAAAAAATTGGCATTGGTCAGACAGTTCTTTTGTCTCAGCGTATCCTTACATGTTCTTCTTCACTGGACTAAGTTTGTTTGTTGTTTGCAATGGTGCTAAAAGGAAAAGGTCAATAATGACACTGGTGTCTGACTTTAAACCAAAAGATTTTGTTTAGCAGCTTTACTTGTGCTGATAG